ACTTCCATGCACACCCATTACCCTTTCGGCTTCTTCCCCATAACATGCCACACCAGACACTGGCACTGTGCTCGAAGACTTAAGAACTCTGAGCCAAAGTGTACCTCTTTTCTTTATAAATCACCCGGCCTGCAGTATTTTTCAATAGCAATAAGAAATGGGCCAACATACATCCCTTTTAATTGTAGCTTCAGGCACATTATATACATTGAACACCTTGTCCGAGAATAGCAACCTTGCTTCTAACTGTCCTATGTGTTTAAAACTGAAGAGCAAGTGATTCTGTTCTGTTCATCCAGGTACTTACCATTTCCATTACTTCCTCCCTCCCTGAAGTTTGAAGTTTGTTTCTATATCATTTTTCTTTTGTACAAGAGTCTTTTATGTGGGCTGGGGAGATAGAACAGTGGTGTAAGTAGCTGCCTGGCAAGGGCAGGGTCCCAAGTTTGATCCCCAGTACCAAAACAACAAAACCTGTAGAAACAGCCTGCTGGTTTTGACTTCTTTTACTCTTCCCACACATATGAGTATGTTTATTTCACCTTTATTTCTGGAATATACTTTTCTAGGTAGAGAATTCCGGGCTGAAATTCTGCCTTTTCAATTTTTAATAAAGCTCAATGAGGCCTTCACCCACTTTTCCTGACCGTGGGGCCCCTTCCCGGTATTTCCCCCTCCGAGGCCACTGTTGAGCTGCTGCTGGAAGTGGGCGATGGCTGACCTGGCTTCTTCAAGCTGAATGGAGGTGTGGAACAGCAGGTGCAAGTCTGCATTTGGGAAGCTCATCAGCAGGCCTTGGTGGGAGCATCTGCTGCTTTACAGCGGGCTTGCTCTGTATGATCACTTGGAGTTCAGCAGTTTCTAGATGAGAATAAGCGAGCTTCACCAAGAGATTAATGCATGTATAAACAAAACATGAACAATAGAATAGAAAGGCAGATTGGGGAAAGATCCATATAGAACACTGTTTTCAAGGGTTGGAATAGCAGTTGTAACCAGCTGGCTCTTCAGACCATCAGCAAGGGTCAGTGATTGGATCCCGCTCTGTGTGTCTAGCTTATTTTATTATTATTCATGAATATCTCTGGCTGTGTCCTCCTGTTGTGGGGTGTTCAAGACAAAGTTAAAGTGAGTCCTTTGTCAATCATAATTGATGTCCTGACATACCAAGGTCAGTTAAGTTTCCTCGGGCACTGTTTTTGGGACCACAGTCAGAGCTCCTTTGCTCCTCTAGCTCTTTCTGTCAGATGTGTCATCTGCCGGGATGGGTCTCGGCTGTGCTGGACCGCATGGTTCTTCTTAAAAGCACGGGCACACCCTCAGCGGCCCCCTTCTAGCATGACGCACACTGGTTGACACCTGTCCTGAGGGGAGGGGGCACAGCTGATGATCTCCTTGCTCAGGAAGCTGTGTGCCTCACCGGAGTTCTGGGATCCTGTGAAAGCTCTCCTCATCTCCTGGGTCCTTGTTCCCCCCGGGTGGGCTAGGGACAATGTATTGGCTGTCTTCAGCCCAGTTATATTTTTAGTTTTGGTCTCGCAAACTTCAGGGGTTGAGCACCCAGTAAGAGAATATCAGTTACATCCGCAGCATAGTGGGAGCAGTTAATTTTATGATTTAATCTAGATATCCAGCCTAGAATAATTTTTCCCTCTGAAAGGGTCATTCTAATTGAGGGGTCAAGGAGAGATGACATGCTGGCTACTTTAGCTGCTTTCAGGATTCTTTAATTTTCTCTGGTTTCCAGTGATTTGTTTATGATGTTCCTGGGCACTGTTTTCCTTGGGCTTTCCTGTGCGAAATCTGTCAAGCTCTTGTATTTTTAATTTTTCGAAATGTATTTAGTGCACGGTCTACAGGGTCTCACTATGTAGATCTGGCTCATAGTGATTCTCCTGTTTTCAGCCTCCCAAGTGCTGGGATTACAGGCGGGCATCAGCACTCCCAGTCTCAATAGCTGTCTCAGTGTGCCCCAGGGGCGGGGCCGGCACTGCACGCTGGGGTTCAAACCCTGAGCACTGTGCTCTGCCTAAGCAGGTGCTTTAGTCCATTGGACTATCTGGCCAGCCCTTTTTTATTTTTTAATCATAGCTGTGATTATTTCTTAGAATTATCTGGCACCAAACTTTCTCTTTTCCTTCCACAAAGCACTCTAATGACCGAATGCCACACCTTCCCTGGCCTGCAGCTCCCGAAGGCGCTTTTCCTCTCCATTTTTCTCTCCTGCCTTTAGACTGCATCCTCTCCACCACACTATGTCAGGGTTACTGATTCTTCATCTCATTTCATAACTGAACTCTGCCAGTGAATTTTTTTTTAAACATTTATTTATTTATTTATTTATTT